ATTACAAAAAATGGACATTTTGACGTAGTAACCCAGGTCGATCGTTCCGGCCACGGGATACTGCAGGAACCGACAGGAAAATGCGGGGAAAATCATCGTATCCTGCCAGAAAACACGGGAAATTGGTCGGAACTCACCGGAAAAAATCCGGAAAATTTTCCGTAGGAACCCTGCTTCCATGTTTCGGCGATTTCCAGTGTTTTTCTCTCGGAACCGGCCCGTACTTTTCGACCTGGGAAGTTATATACATGGTTCTGATTCCACGATTATAACAAAAATAAATACAATATTAAAAAAAGTTCTAATTAAATTCATAATTACTTTTATAGTTCATTATCATTCATCTTCTATAGGTAGAACGATAGAGTCCTACAGCTGTAACATACGTCTAATATCAAGGGGGAAAAGCAGATTATTTTCATTTTGAATTACTCAATTGGCAATAAATGGTATCTGTCCTTAACTAAACTAAAATGAAAAAAAAGAACTCCTCGCTGACGATGCGCAAAAACTAAAAGAAACACTCTCTAACCGTATTAGATTAAACAAAAGGACTTTTCTCTATAGAATAGATTTTAACTAAATGGACGCTATCTCAATCTCTATCACATGAAAAAAGATATGTCTAGTTAAGATGGATTTAATCTAAAGAGATACTATCTCTATTTCTACTAAGTGAAAAAAGAGAAATGACTGATTAAGATATACTTAAAGTAAAAGGATACTATCTCTCTATATTAAATGAAAAATATTACAATCGTTGTGATACGATTCGTTATAAATTCTATGTTTTATATTAAATTTCGAGAAAGAATCAAATCTAAAAGAAAATCTCTCTTATGAAAAATGATTCTCTGAACAAATGAGAAAACATTAGAATTTCGCTAGATAAAATAACGTATTCTTTCGTCATAATATTCCAAAGATTAGAGAGTAGAAATGTGCGTTTTTCCAGAGTTTTGTTTTTACTGATAGTTGCACACCCTTTATTAGAAAGTTCAACGATAAGTATCACGTTAAGAAAATCGATTCTTTTTTCTGCGATTTAAATTGATTTGAAGAAGATCAATAGTAAAGAGTACTCCAAAAGTTTCAACCCTTCCCTGTAAAGTGATGTTATTTATATGAAATACATACATAGATAGTTGATCAAAATATGCAGTTTTCTAGAGAATGATTGGAGCTATCATTTAAAAAAAATAGTTCAAACTGTGTCGGACTCATCAAAAGTTATGGTCATTTCAATAATCATGACTAAGCATTTTCCATCTTACATTTTTTTACAAAATTTGATATTCATATTCTTCTAGAGCTTGTCGAACTCTACCGAACCATATAAAAACTATCTAATAAAAACAAGTAGAAAACAATATTTCGATAGATCTTAATAGCTTAAACATTGCAAGAATAATTTTGATCTTGCAAACAATGGAAGATGGAAAATGCTTACAAACTAAAATATAATGTGTCGCACGTATCATACTTTGCGACATAATGTACGATACATTGAAGTACGACACTAGGTGCTCGTCGCGACACATTTTGTCCAGCAACGGTTCAACACATTCTTCTACGGCACATTCTGAAACCATCGTTCGAGTCTAGTATACAGCGTATTTTTTCTTCTGCGAAAGCAAAGCATGAAATTTTTTTCAATTTAATTCGATTTAATTATTCCCATTCTGAAAATTCAACTCGCTCAGATCTTGAGATTTGTCGGTCTCGAGTTGGTCCGATCTTGATCCGACAGATTCAGAGTAGCTCTCTCTCGATCATCGATCGCAATCGGCATGTTCTCGACTAATAACTAATCGAGAAATAATCTAGAAAAAAAGACACAAGAAAAAACACAAGTGTCGTATGTTCAATCGAGTTGTCTATATGTAGCTGTGTGTACAAAACAGAACGGTGAATGAATAGTAAGCAGATAGAACACGACAGATTCATAATACGGCACATTCTAATTGCGACACATTTTCGTGAGAGAGCCTGCGACACTATAACCAGTGACACATAAGTGTGACACATTTTATTTTAGTGTGTAGTTATGATTAATAAAATTACCATAACTTTTGATGAGTCCGATACAGTTTGAACTATTTTCTTTCACGTGATCGCTCTAATCATTCTCTAGGAGACTGTATATTTTGATCAACTACCTATATATGTATTTCATATAAATAACGTCAATTTATAGAGAAGGGTCGAAACTTTTGAACTACCCTTTAGCACAGTTGATGCGAGAGTCAGCACAACTTAAAAAGCGAATCCGGACAGGATTTACTGGTTAAACGGGCCTTTGGAGGGGGTATTTCGAGAGAAAGTATAGGTTTTGACCCGATGAGTCGAGTCGAAAGTGACACCAATCGATATGGCATGAAATTCTGCGTCTAGCACAGATCATGCGAGAGAAAGCACTGGTTCAAAAACGAGTCTGGACAGCAAATATTGTTTTTGTTATGTCAGTGCACAGGAGAAAAATGAGTATTTGTTGAATAAACGCTAGTTTTTGCCCGTTAAACCCATTGTAAATTATGGCATTCGATAGAGAAAACAATTCTGCACGCAGCACAACGCATTAGAGGGCCAGCACAGCTCAGTTAGCGAATACGGTCAGAAAATACGCGAATCTGATGCTAAATTTTTGTTAAGTCTGCTGCAAAATCAACAGAAACACTAAAAATTGTTGGAGAACGAATGTTTTCACTAGCTAAATGGATTATGTGGCTTGATGGTAAAGGACAAATTAGTTATATTAATGAACTGTTAAAAGGATTGACAACTCCAGTGATTGGTGCTCCGCATTCTTATCCATGAGAACATCAACATCTGAAGTGAAGGCTACTATTGAGCATTTACCTATGTGAGGAAAATCACCTGACAGACTTGTTAATGCTATAAGAGATGTTGCACTTCAAGAAAAAGAATATAAACATGATGAATTTTATTCTTGTTCAGATGCACTGAAATTAAAACTGTATGACATTTCAATATTTATATACAGAAATAATCATCCATGTATTTTTCGTTATCTATGTGGATGGCATAATGAAGTTAATTATTTATCATATAGAGGACAATTATCAGTTTATTGTTCAGCCGTTCGATTGAATTTAACTGATTATTTTCATTTTTTACTACTAAACTTTTATAATTATATTCCTCATCGATCAGTTTGTTAGAAAACTACGTATAACTGAAATTGAATTATTGATTAATATAATTTATCAGAAAAACTACTATATTTGTTCAAAGTCAAAGATTGTTATCATAATAATTATATATGCTCTTGATCGAATAATATCTCTGTATCGTCTCCCTTCTTTCCCTTGATTGCTTGGTGTTTTTCTTTGCAAGGATTATTTGTAATATGAGTACAGTTATTTTTTCCAACGTTGTCAATATAGTGAGAAGTTCTTTTTTTTATTTGATTCCTAGTTATTTATTTGTAACTGTTAATTAATTAATTAACCAATAAAATAGAACTCATCCGACGTAGTACTTAGATTAACTAGTATTCAACTAATTAGCACTAATTAACTGAGTACCAGTCTGGGTGGACGCTATCTGAACATCATACCTACAACTTGTAGATGTGGGTGCAACTGTGGCTGTCACTGTTGGTGTCAGTGGAAACCAAATCAACACCCACATCCGAAGCGCCATTTTTTAGGAGTTCTTTTGAGTCATTGATCTTGTAACTCCTTCTTTCCAGTAAAAAAATAAAAATTTAAAAAATAGGATTACGTGGTACCCGAGATCCTGACATGCTCTTTCAAGCAAAAATAAATTTAAATGCATCGCATGAACCGTGGTTGAGAAAAATGGGTTGCTAAATTTGCTATTTTTAACCCTTGTTTAGCCAGCATCTCCGTCAAACATCATGGTATCATGCTGAAAATTTCACCATAGCTTTTTCACAACGATTCCAACATATTCTGAGAATTTCATGTCATTTGAACGTTTCTGCGGTCAGATCGATTCTTTTAGAGGAAACGGGGCTTAAATCAATAAGATTATATAAAATTTAATCGAGCTTTTTCTTAAAAACTCTGAAAAATTTCAAGTCTCTCCAGCATTGAGAGGCTTTTATATGAAATGTTGTTTTCTTTATAAAAATGTTGCTGTCTTGCAGACTCGCCAAATGTTAGAGTTTCATTGTACCTTTCCTTTTGTTTATTTATTATATATTTAGATATTATATGTGCTGATGTATATGCACGAACTTTATTATGTATGAAATGAAAAACAAATGAAAACATATATAATAAATGCACATGACGAACAAACGAAGAAAATGTAGTAATAGAGATCAAACGAGGACAAAAGAAGATAGAAAATAATATAGCAGAATGATTATCTCAATTTGTGGTATCGCTGTAACAATCATTATTCATTTAAGGCTGATTAATAAATGTGAGGATGAGCTTTAGGTTCAAAAACTTATACATGAGGGAAAGTAACGAAAACAAACTAAGAAAATAAAATTGAGCACTGGCAGACAAAATATGCCCAATTTCTCGAACAATCGTAAGACTCTGGTTTTGGAAGATGTCTATGACTCTTGCTTCAATACAAAGACCAGGCGAGATGGTAATTGAATATGTAGTCCTCGTCTGCGACAGAAACGACAATACTCATGTAAAATATAACCAACTATTCTTGCCGAGCATTGTTATGTTGAAAAAGGAGGAAATGAAGCAACTCTAAAGATTTCATTGGTGATAATAAAACTACTTAGAAGAGAAGAACAACAATAGAAAAGACTTACAGAAGAATAATATCATCGGTAAAGAAAAATCAATAACAGCAAATGAGAGTGAAAAAAAAACAACTTGAGATAATCATAGGACTGTTCAGAGAAAACCCACATTAATCATAAGAAAAATAAAGAAGAAAAAGCAATACAGAAAAACAGAAAAGTTAGCAGTAATCAAGTGATTTTTATAGACGTTAACTTATGCTTGCCTTTAACTTGAGGATTGTGATGCGGTTGAATTTCAATTATACGCAATTGCTGTTGCTATGTTAAGCCGAACGATTCGTGGCAGTGCTGCACGTGATGTATGCTTAATCATCCTGTCTATATTTATATGAATAGAAGACATTTTATTGAACAAAATCTAAATAGCTTGTCTAACTAACTCTGCTACTGGAAAGTGAGTGCGTTATAAGGTTTACATTTTTCGTTCGGCTCACGGACTTTGGACGGATTTTGAGTAGAACATTGGCAACATTTTTTTATCCTTCGTAGAGTAAGATAGTACCGATAATTTTCTATTTCTGTGTTCACAAGCTGTGAGATGAACGAAAACAAAATAAACGTGGCAACGAACTCACTTTTGATAGAAGTGTTAGCTGGACAAACTATAAACTTACCGAATCTATCTAAATTTCCAATAGCTATAAGTGTACTATAAGGTTGAGATTGAGATAGTTTGGCAATAGCACGTCGTCGGCGTTTTGAGGCACTAAAATTTGATAAATTAAATTCACAATAAGCCACACCATTGCGGAGAGCCAACAAAGTAGGAGTTAATTTACCACCCAAATTTGCCGTAGTACCACCTAACACTGTTGGTGAATTACCAAGTGGATTAATACCACGAACAACTGAAATTTTATCGTTAGCTGAACGTTTGCAGACAAAAACATGATCTTGACCCTATATATTAAAATATCAGTACTAATAAAATATAAAATAAACTTATATGCTATACCATTTTTTTATCAAGTGAGAGACCCAAAGCTACCCATTGCGACTTTTTTAAATTCTTAATCTGCATTTTAACAGATGTGATCCGATTTTTATAAGTCCAATTAATCCTAACAATAGGAGGAGTATTGACACGAATAGTAGTAGTAGAACGACTAATGACCTTGCTTGTTGATGAAATTTTCTATTATATATGGAAGATAAAAATGATTTATTAGTATTTTAAAGGCAAATTAAGAGAACATTAATTTCAAAAGACTTTCAAATGTCGATTTTTATAAATATTTCGATGAAAAATTGAGTTACGATGATTGGATAATTTATTAGATAAAAAACAACATATCATTATACTTACACTTGCTACAGTGGTTAATGCATTAGTCTAAATAAATTAAAATAAACATTTTTATTGAATTATAATTAAATAAAATTTACAGATTTAGCAGTTAATGTAATACTAAAACAACCAACGTATATTTGATTGAATGATTGGACGATTGTTGCTCTAAATATTGTTTAATATACATGTAAAATAAAGTAAAATAACTAAAGTTTATCTACTTAATAACAATGGGGTCGTTGGTTATAGTTGATGGTGGATGCCAAGATGCGTGTATCGATGATTTATCCACGGGTGAGTTATGAGTGATGCCAGTATTGGGTATTCCACCACAACTAAGTGTTTGAATAGTTGAATCTAGTACTGACCAAGTTCCAATAATTTGTTGATTGGTTTTTGTTTTTGCTATTAATAGAATACCTCTAAATGTATTAGAAATTGTTGAACCACGAATAGTAACTATGATTGAAGAAAAAACATTATTTGATGAGGAAAAATTTTCTTAATTATACTCACTCTGCACTGTATCATTTGTAGAATATTGTAACGTGTTCGATTCAATTATATACTTCGATGAACATGCTTGAGAAGAAACATCATGTTGAGGAAGCATTGGTCCGCATGCAATCGGTGGAGCACCAGATGAATAACTGTGTCCATGTTTAATAGAGATCGAAAGGAAGATGAGCAAATAATAAATGAATGAATTCATCTAAAAAACAAAAGATTTTTCAATAATGATCAAATCTTTCTCTTAAAAAAATCATATCAATATAATTAGAGGTGTACAGTGGCGTATGATCAGTGAAAGCTGAAATTTTCTGAATTTCGAGAAATTTTAGATGGAAAAATTAAGAAAACGATGTTATAGATCTTACTGATCAGAAATCAGACGGTAACATCTTTAAAAGACTGATTGAGAACATAGAAAATGTTGAAAAATCAAACACCCACATTTGTTTGGCAGTGGCAGCTGCTCAACCGATCGGCTTACATCTCTTCATAAAATGTGTAACAATTTTCTGTTCATTTATCTGTCACAGCAGAATAGAATAAATTTTGTTACCTTTCGATCAATAGATCATCAAGCCGATATCCCATAAATCTATTATGGTCACGCTTACGAGTTTTTTTTCATCAGGATTGAACGAGTCAAGCTATATTATTTTGAATATTTTTTTATTTTCTGTTTATTTATACTAATACTATTAAGAACTAGTTTTTCAGGACACAATATCTAGTGTCTAATCTTTATGCACAAAAAAGAAAATAGGAGTAATCATACATAAAATAAAAAAACACAACCGTAACGGTATACTTATAGGTCGAAGACTACCAGCGCAGTTTTCTTCTGCAATCTATCAGTGCTACTCATAGTACTGAAAAATAAGATAAAAATTCAGACCAGAACTATAAGTGAATGTAACACTACTACTATCCGGTTTTTATGATGAAGAGAAGACTAGTTGGCGAGAAAAATGATTTTTTTCTCAAATTTGATTAAGAATTTGAGTGATTTGACGAATAGAAATCTCTAGAAATTTTATTGGAATTAGAGATATTTAGAACAAGCTTCTCTCGCACTCCGTACTCTGACTGAGGAAAATATACTAACTGATGCTCTAACTTGCATATTTCCACTTGACAATCAATTCGGAAATTTCAACAAAACCACCTATACATGTAAATTCATCGATCATTGCAAAGCTTTAACAAATTTTACAAAAACTCGTTATTTTCTCTATATAACTTACAATGCAAGATTAATGACAAACAATACGACCCTTATATTTCTTCATAGACATTGCTTTGGAAAGAAATTTTTTACAATTCAACGCGAAATTTTCTCCTCTTTCGAACTGTATATGACTTATTTTTATTAAACATTCATGAACAAAACAGCATGAGAAGAAATAGAGACATCCTAAAAATAGTTCTGCACTTTTTGTGCACTTTAAAATAACGACACATAATATCGACTACCATGTCTCTTCTTTCAACATGGATTAGAATGATAATTTACTTTTATCAGCTGATCAGAAATTTTCTCTTGTTTCTAGTAGGATATAATACGTATTTTTCGTGCGTTCATGAACGAAATAGCACCAAGGAAAAAAATATATATTCATACACGTAGTATTTGATCTTTTCATTGATTTATCGGAGAAATCCTGTAAATCAACTAAAACACTAATTGGAACAGTTTTAACTTAATTCGCAGAAAAATTGTAAAAGAATAATTGAAAAACTAAAATATTAAAGTTATTGGCTTCTATTAGGAAACAAAAGATCAAATGACTTAGTAAAACTAATTTACAAGCTAGTACATCTGCTATCATCTTAATATCATATTTCAGTTAATTTAAAAGACTTCTTCGATAAATATAATAAAAAGATCAAAACTTTCTTGTACGGATATTCTTCTTTCTTTCGTCTCATTTCGTTTATGAACGCATGACAAATACAAATTCGATACTACTAGAAGCAAGAGAGAATTTCCTATCAGCTGAGCTGATAAAAATGATTGTTCTAACACCTATTTAAAGAAGAGATACCATAATCGATAATTTTTGTCGCTATTGTGAAAAGTACAAAACGTGTAGAACTATTTTTAGAATGTCTTTATTTCTTCTCATATACTATTTTGTTTATCAATGTCCAATAAAAATAAGTCATGCAATTCAAAAGAGGAGAAAATTTCGTATAACAATGTCGAAATATAACGGTCGACATTTTGTGCCGTTATTTTCGCATCGTAAGTTGATTTTTTTCTTGATCGAAAAAAACTGTATTTGAAGGGTACTAATCTCACCTATCTATGAACATTATTTCTATCTAATGTTACAAACTTCTATGAGCACCACAGTACCCTTTTAGCATCTGAGCGCTCTTCCAATACTTAAAAGTACTTTTTTCATTGCTTTCTAGAATAACTTAGTGCACTGGCACTGAATTTATTTCCTCACAGAACTATTACGAATTTATCAACAATAATGTGAATCTGTCTTTTACGTAATTTTAAGTAAAAGTAAAAGAAGACATCGCCTTTAGAAACAAAGACGTCAGCTTAAAACTGTTTATACTAGAAGAAGATTACTAGTTATCGAGTAATGGACTAACAAAAAGTTCATGGATTTGATTCCCTCTTTAAGAAATAGCTTTTCACAGAACATCGTGATTCTCTGTAAAATATTATCGAACGTGTTATAATTTCTCAATTCAAAAACTTTTCATCGAGCCTTATAAGAAATTGTAATGTTCACCAACCAGCTATTTTCTGATGATAGTATTAAATTCACGAATTTTCGGTTACCTCGTCATACGGTAGCCAGTAACGGTGACTTCCTTTCTTATTACAAAAAAATAACTATACCATCTGAAAACAAGATACCTTTGTGAAAGATCAAAATACAGATTCAGAATAACTACAAGAAAAAAAACCCAACCAATGTAGAAAATACCTTTTTCTGTCTAACAGAGAAAAATAAAGTATATACTATGCGTGCCTACCTACTTTATTTACGTAAAACTTTATGCTCTATCGATTACATTTTGTGATATATATATATATATCTTTTTGTCATGACTTTCTTTTTTTTCCGTTCTGTAGTGGGAACCGCCTTTTAGCCTTACTATCTAGTTATATTAAAGGATAAAGTTCAATGAATCATTTATATACAAAAAATGGAGATAATGAAATCCTTTGTCTTTAAAAAATAAAGATAAATTAACGAAAAAAAACTATATTTATTATTTAAAGATAAACAAATTCATCATCTTTATTTTCTAAGGATAATTGATTCAATTATCTGCAAAAAATAAAGTATGATGAAAAAACTCCCCTAGGTTTTAGGACAACGTTTCATCATTCCAATCTTTTATACTAAAAGATGTAGATGAATGAGTCATTTATCTATAAAGCATGATAAGTAAATCATTGATCCGTAACAATAAATGATGAAGTTTTTTTTCGTTTATTTACCTTTTGCTTTCAAAGACAAAGGATTCATTCAACTTTAAAAAATAAAGTAATAGTAAAGTACAATCCATATTCTGTATCTTTTTTTCATTTTCTCTCGAATAATCCTCGATCATCAATTGTGAAAACTATGTCCTTTTGAACGTGCACGTACAAATTTATAATGCATCATATAATGTATTTTTATCGAACATTGGGTGAAGTGATATTTTACAATTAACGAAAAAAACGTTCATTTAAAACAGTCTACGTGACTTATAACACCATTATGTTTCGGATATTTTTTCTCAGAATACATTTTTTTTCTTTATTCTGCATCAAATAATAATATGATAACAAAAAGACAATATCTGCTTCATAGGTAGCAATAATAATAACAGCCTCATTTTGAGGCAATAAGATTATTGTCACATTCCTAAGACAATAGTCAGTGATGTTTTCTAGTTTCGACCAACTTTTCTTTTCCTTTTCTCTTTTGTTTTTTTTTACCTGCTCGAACAGGAGAAATAAAGAGGTAGAAAATAAGATATAATCAATGGAAAAATACAAAGTATGTTGTTAGTAAACAATAAGCACACATGACAGACAATTTTCTATTTACGTTCAATCTGAAGTCAAAAACAGACAGCACTCAATTTTAAACTGAAATAAATAAGGGGAAATCAATGAATTTTGGAATTCTGAATCTCGTGGGAATCCCGAGAGCGCCACGGGAATCCGGAATGTACCATTTTCCACTTGATTTGAACCAAATCTAAAGGCATCACCAACTGTTATTAAAAGTGAAATCTCGGGTTTATCTTATTATGTCTATAATTGATTGAAATTTCAATGTAAAAATAGCATCATTGTTAATATTTATATCAAAAAATAAAAACAAGTAAAAATTTAAACAAATGTTTTTTTTCATACTGAGTGAAATTTACTGATTATAGTCAAAGACGTAAGACAATTGATGAAAAGTACTGAGTGATTTTGTATTTGACTTTACTTTGTGATAACTTACTAACATCATACAAATCAATAAGTATCAATTCTTCATGTAAATAAATAGTTGATGCATAAATTAATGGAATAATATTGCTAAGAGTTATATACCGCAGCAACAAAAGTCGCAGTCGAGTATCATCAGCTACTTGGTGCAGATAATGTTCGTAAAATTGGATATTTGGTATTGGCTTATGATGACGTAGTGACAGAGCAGTGCATATTTCGTTAAAAGTAATATTTAAATGTTCAATTGTGGACAAAGATCTATATCGCAAAAGAAGCATGAGTTCGCTGGAACGTTGAATACTTCAAGTTGATCGTACTCTACTTGGTCGATATAATGGTTGTATCTTGTGTAAATATCTTATCGTTTTTTATCTGATGAATGAAATAAATTATCATATGTGCAAGAATAATTAATTACATCAATGAGAATTAGGTTCATTATTGTTTTTTATTTGAAATTATAGGAAATTTTGATTAGTTTAAGAATTTTGTATCATTTTATAAGCTTAGTTTCAACTAATGTTTCATTATGAAACAAAGTATAACAGAAAACTTTAACAACAAAACATTTTCAAAAACTTTCTTATGCCACCAAATAGTCTCAACCCACGCCCATACCCTCTACTGTACAGCCATAATAAATAATATTGCTAGTAGTTCCCTACAGATTTCTGATAATTAACAAGAAAGATGTCGATGGCTCATCCTAACTGCTAGCGATAATTAATAACTGCTAA